CTTTTTTTTTTTTAAGATTTTTTTTTTTTTTAAATTCATTTGAGACACAGAGATAGAGAGCACAAGCAGGGGGAGAAGCAGAGGAAGGGGGAGAAGCAGGCCCCCCGCGGAGCAGAGAGCCTGATGCGGGGCTCGATCCCAGGACGCTGGGATCACGACCCCAGCCGGAGGCAGACGCTTAACCATCTGAGCCACCCAGGCACCCCACTAAGAATTCTTTTATAAATCCTTCCAGATACAAAGTTTCATGTTTCCAAATTTTAGAAAATATATGTATTTAACTTGAAAGCAGAATTGGATTTATAACCCCCCACACTGTTGGGAATGTAAAATGGTACAGCACTGTGTACAGCAGTTTGGCAGTTCCTCAAAAAGTTAAGCACAGAATTACCATATGACCCAGCAAATCACTCCTAGGTTATCTACCCAAGAGAACTGAAAATGTATGTCCACACAGAAACTTGTACATGGATGTTCATAGAGGCAGTTTTCATAACAGCTGAGAAATAGAAACAACCCAAATGTCCACAAACTGATGAATGGATAATATCCATACCATGGAATATTATTCAGCCAAAAAAGGAGTGGGCAGTACTGACACATGCCATAACATGGATGAACCTTAAAAAAATTATGCTAAGTGAAAGAGACCAGACACAAAAGACCACATATTATATTATTCCATTTATTTACAATGTCCATAAAAACAGCAAGTAGATCAGTAGCAAGAGTGACTGCTAATGGGCACAGCAGGGAGTGTATCTGGGATAGTATTGGCATGATAAAACATTCTGAAAGTAGTGGTGAAAGTTGTACAACTCTATGAATACACTAAAAATCAGTGCAATGTACACTTGAAAAGTATGAATTTTTTTCATTTGTGACGTATCTCTTTTAAAAATGGGGTTTATACCACCTTCTATGTTCCTATGGTACAGTAAAGAATTTGGGGTGTTCATATTGCATCACATCTCACACAGAAAGGATACCCTTTTTATGAACTATCAACAGTCCCCAGAGACCCCAATCAAAATACTACTTATTTTTTGTGGTAAATATTTTTTACTGTGGTAAAAAATATATATGCATAACGATATGTACATATGTACATAACGAAATGTACAAAATGTATTTTAAGTGTGCAATTTGGTAAATATAATTTTAATATGTGCATGTATCTTGATGTCTTCCCATTTAAAAAGCACATCTGTTACTATAAATAAAAATGTAGCTATAGAAGCTGCCTAATTTTCTGAGATGTGACCCAAATTTTTCTGCAGATTCACTTTATGCAATCTATAAATTAAGATATATCCTAAGAAATTTATTCTGGCAAAATGACATTTTCAGATTTTTTAATCATATTTATAAACATAATGACTTTATATGTCCTTTTTCTCTATTTTAATTAAATATTTATTTTGTAAAGTTTTTTAAAAATTAAAATACAAACTTTTGGTAGCCTCTACCCTGTCAGGCAGCTTGTTTGTTGTTTGAAACATATTTTAAAGGGATGGCTTTTAAGAATGAGTTTCCTATGCAACAAAGTGAAACCTTTTGCAAAAATGAATGGAAGGGAATGAACTGAAGTGGGAAGAACAATACACTCTAATTCTGCCAAAAGTTAGCTTCAGCACAAAGTCTGTCCCACTCAGAGGCTGGAGTCATTTCGAGGAACGTGTGTCTTGCCCAAGATGAAGGTTCTAGTTCACACAACAACAGCAGCCCTCTGAATCATATCTATTTTCCACGACAGGAGAGAAGCTGATTTTTTATAAGACTAAGCTTTTTATTTAATGCGTAGGGATCCTATACATAAGAGTCTACATTGAAATATAAATTTGTAACCAGTACAAACTTTTAAAATTAGCCATTAGCAGCATCCTCTAAATTAGCATCATTAAATTCAAATAGAACTTTTCTAAGACTATGTTCGTAGTACAGCACTTCTCAAAGATAATTCCAAGGGAACACTGATTTCTTGGGATATTAATAGTGACTACACCAAAAAGGATTTCATGGTTATAAATTGAAGAAACTTCCATTTGTCCAGATTTTACATGTGTCTTTTACACAAGGTTTTCCAGAGTCTACCACTCCAGGGTGTCCTGCTAAGCCACAGATATGCTGCACACCGCAACCCTAACTGACCACAGAAACCCTGTCGCCATGGTGTTTATGGGACTCCACACAACAGAAACATGTATTCTGAGCATAGAAACCCTCATAGATGCTGTACATGCATTATTTATTTCACTCCTAGCAGTAACAGCAGTTACATGCTGGTCTCTCCCAGTTTTAGAGAAGAGGAGACAGAAGGGCCAGGAATTCAGCAACTTTAAGGTGTCATAGTACATAACAGGCCGAGCTAGAGCGAGACACAGGTCTGACTCCAAGGCCCATGCTGCACCCACTCCCTCTTAAACAAGGGGCTTGAGTAACATCTTAGTTTTGTCTTAGAAATTTATTGGTGTAGAAAATAGCTGTTTGTGCTCGAACATTGCATTTCTCAGACTGACAAATAGGAAATGAGCATATTAAAGGTGCTAGGTCTGGGGCGCCTGGGTGGCTCAGTCGTTAAGCGTCTGCCTTCGGCTCAGGTCATGATCCCAGGGTCCTGGGATCGAGTCCCACGTCCGGGCTCCCTGCTCAGCGGGAAGCCTGCTTCTCCCTCTCCCACTCCCCCTGCTTGTGTTCCCTCTCTTGCTGTGTCTCTCTGTCAGATAAATAAATAAAATCTTTAAAAAAAAAAAGGTGCTAGGTCTGATTTCTGCAATGAAGTATGTAGGCACTTGTGATAGTGGGTGTCAGTTATTCATTCACCAAACCAAGTCTTTTTGATCACTTTGTATGAACTGGGCACTACTCTGCAGCAGTGGAAATGTAACTGGGACAAATCCATGCCCATCCCCTGGGGAGCTCACATCAAACATGGGAGGATGGCGGAGGAACATGAGTCAGGAGGCATGCTCAGTGAAAAGAAAGGAGCCAAGCCGGGAACAGGAAGTCCTGGGCCCATGGCAGACAGGGAGAAAGCAGGCAGTCCGTGTCCTGTTCTCCCTCTCCCTCTCCCTTCCCCTCACCCAGAGGCACAGTGGGCCCACCCAGTTCCTTAGTCTTGGTGAAGGGCAGTGAGAAGTCAAATGAGCTCACCTCTGAACCTTCCCTGACAGCCTTTCCTGACCTTAGTTGGCCCTGGGTCACCTAACCCTGTCCTCACTCACACAAATAGCTGCAGCAGTGTACTTCTCAGAAATAATCGAGAGGGGGACGCCTGGGTGGCTCAGTCGGTTAAGCGTCTGCCTTCAGCTCAGGTCATGATCCCAGGGTCCTGGGATGAGTCCCACATCACGCTCCCTGCTCAGCGGGAGTCTGCTTCTCCCTCTGCCTGCCACTTCCCCTGCTTGTGCTCCCTCTGTGTATCTCTCTCTGTCAAATAAATAAATAAAAGATTTTAAACAAAAAATAAAAAAATATGAGAGAAAGAGAGTGAATTTTCACTAGGCAGTCCTTTTTTAGCATGTGATTCCCTGCCTTTGCTTATTTTTTGTGCTTGATTTTGACCCAGAACCTGAAAATCCACAGGAATGATACTGAGCTGGGTATTTGTCACGGGCCACACTCTTCCGTGGGCTTTTTCTATTGTAATTGGTGTAAGAAACCAAAAGGAGGTAGGGAAGTGCTTGAGTCTTGTTCTAGTACATGATTTTCAGGTTCTGAGTTGTTCAGGTTTGTTAACTGCTAGATCCTAAGCACCTAAAACAGTACTTGCTATTAAACACTGAAAGAAATAATATGTCACATTAATTATTAAGGACACAAGCTTTTTAAAAAGTAAACAACATATTATATATTAATATTGTTGAAACTTAGAGCAAAATCTAAGAAGCCTTTGTGAGATATGCATGTATGTGTGCATGTATGCACACACACTCATACCTATAGCAACTAAAACAGGATTTTCTCATTGTGGTAAAATGTACATAACACAAAATTTTCCACCTTGACCATTTTTAGTGGCATTGAGTGCATTCACACTATTGTACATCCATCACTCTCATCCATCTCTAGAATGTTTCCATCTTCCCAAACTAAAACTCCAAACCATTAAACATTAACTGCCCATTTCCCATTCCCTCAGCCCCTAGCAACCACCATTCTACTTTCTGTCCCTGTGAATTTGACTGCCCTAGGAACTTCATGAGTGGAATCAAAATATTTGTCCTTTTGTGGGCGCCTGGGTGGCTCAGTTGGTTAAGCGACTGCCTTCGGCTCAGGTCATGATCCTGGAGTCCCGGGATCGAGTCCCGCATCGGGCTCCCTGCTCAGCGGGGTGTCTGCTTCTCCCTCTGATCCTCTTCCCTCTCGTGTTCTGTCTCTCATCCCCTCTCTCTCAAATAAATAAATTAATTAAAAAATATATATTTGTCCTTTTGTGTCTGGCTATATTCTTTATTTTAGATAATTTGATAAATAGATAATTTTCTTCTTATGTGAGTAACACATACCTGTTTTGGAAAAAGGAAACACATAAAAGCCCAATGAAGAAAGTGAATATCACTTCTAAGCTCTACTCAGATACCCACTAAAATCATTTTTTATATCTTTCAGTCTCCTTTTCCTTTGGCTTATTACATGTGGGTACATGCATAGATATATACATAAAGACATTATAATTTGTTGCCTGCTTTTCACTTAGCAAGGTATCAAACATTTTTCCATGTCTTTAAATATTTTCTATGTAACCATTTCAGTGGCTGTATAATATTTCATTGGGAGATGGATCATAATTTGATGAACAATATCCTTCCTGTTCTTGTGCAGTTTCAAAGGCCTGTTGGTCTGTGTGACACTGTCTTCCCCATCTGAATCACCACGCATCCTGAATGGTGTCTCCTTGGCATTAGGGATGGTGTCTGTTAGGCAAAACTGCATATGACCAGATCATAAAGAGGCACTTAAGTGATGAATACTATGGACAACATCCTTTCTTTTTCCAGGACAGCAGGGCTTTTCGGTTTGATCGATACCATGTGGCCTCCAGTGATGCCTCTGAAAGCACCTGGCCATGGCCGAGCCTGCGAAGAGGTAAGCCACCATCGGAAGAGCTTCCCCTGGTCACTACCTGCTGTGCCAGGCCCCACCCATAGTCCACATCTCTGAAAAGGGGAGGTCCAGGGACTGAGAACCAGGAGGACAGAGATTCAGTCTTGCTCACCTCACTCCAAAGTCCAAACTCTGGCTGCTTTCTCTGCTTATGCAATTCCATTCTTCTTGCGGTTAATTTACGGCGATGTTTTTAAGCCACAGCCATTGCAACAATTAGGGTCTTAGCCTCGTCCTAATTAAGACACAGGATGTTTTCCCCACCACCTCCCAATCACTATTAGAACCAACACTCAGTTACCAATTAGAGCACAAACTCACATAACCTAATAAATAAATTCCATGGATATTCTTTCAACCACCAGGTGAGCCAGGGATTTCCATTTTCCTGCTGCATCAAATTGTTTATGGTAGTTGCTCACATGTAGCAAAACTGATCAAAATGTGTCCCTTCTTCTTCATCCTGAGTTTTATCCAGCAGACTGACTAGCAGCTACTTTGGGCCATAGCTCCCAAAGCTAAAAATGGGGGGCTGTCTTGTTTGTGTGGTAACTGACTTCCTAGCAGACTGCTAAAACTATGACTCTGTACAGTACTAGACCAGGAAAATAGTTGTCGAAAATGCCCAATTCTAACTCTGAGAAACAAACTGAGGGTTTTAGGGAGGGCGGGGGGATGGGTTAGCCTGGTGATGGGTATTAAGGAGGGCACATATTGAATGGAGTACTGGGTGTTATACGCAAACAATGAATCATGGAACGCTACATCAAAAACTAATGATGTAATGTATGGTGATTAACCTAACATAATAAAATAAAATTTAAAAAATAAAATAAAAATGCCCAATTCTAGATTATTTGAGAGGGAAAAGTTTCTAAATGGTTTTTTCAAGAATACTCTGAAGAATGAATTTTTTAAATGAAGTCTTGAATCCGTGGTAAATTCAAAAAGTATCAAAGTTCTTATCCTTGGTCCTAGAGATAAACAACATAATCTATTTCTTATACAACTTTCCAGAGAAATAGAATGCAACTGTGAATAAATACCTATATATTAAAGAGTAGATCTTAATAGTGTATTTGAATCTTTTACTAGCATATTTACGTTCTACCTTTGCCTTCGTTTTAAACAGGTAAAAATTCATGTGCCTCCTCCTAGCTTCTGTTACATCCTCATTGCTCATCCAAATGTGGGGCAAATTGAAATAATTGAAGAAGACCCCATTTCTAAGCTTTACCAGCCTCCAGTTCCCCGCTTCTTAAGAGAAATTCTCCAGGTAACATCTGTGTTTCTAACAGGGTCTTTAATTATTTTTACTGTATATGTGTACTCTGTGGGGTGTTCTAATCATTTTCAATGCCTTTCCAGACCAATGATCTTAGTACCCGTTGCAGTTTCTATGCCAGAGTGATTTATCAAAGACCACAGGTAATCAATCCCTCTTCCTTTCTCTTTCTGATAAGGTGTTATAAAGTTTATTAAAGGATAACCTCTCACAGAAATTAATGGGGTGCTAAATAGAAAAGCATTTTAAAAATCCATTTATGCATGATCCATGCTGAGGCAATTAATCCATTCCTTGTGCAGGTGCAGCCTGCCAGCCACTGTGGTAAGTACTGTGTATGAAACAACCTAGGCATAGCTCACCTGAAAGTTTCTCAGCCCAGCACTGTGAGTTCCTTTCTGGCACACAGATTGTAGAAAGGAAAGAAAGGAGAGGGAGGAAGGAATCTCAGGATTGAGTTTAGCACCTGTCAGAACTGTCCAACAACTCTGAGCCATCAATAGGGGAAGGAAGCCCTGCGGCCCCTGGGAGGCCTCAGCAGAGCTGGGGAGCTGCAGCCTAGAGGAGCTGCTAGTTTGCTGCCTTCCCACTCAACAGATCAGCAAGAAGCAGACAAGAGAAAGGGATGTTTTTGGCAAGCGGAACATATGGTATAAGTTCTGCAAAAAAGAAACCTCTGGTTGACCTTAACTCAGAGAGGAACATCCATGCAAATCTGTCACCTGAGGTGTACAAAACAACCCATTGTTCAATCCTTGTTTTCCTTTCCTCTGTTCACCTTTTAGTGAATTGGTACATCTCCTGAGGAATAAGAGAGTGATTGACATTAGTCAGTCACAGTGCTTCCTGTGAGCCATCCCAGAATGTGGCTCAATAGACACAGGGACAGGCCCATAGTGAAGAGGAGGTCCAGGCACCTGAGGTGTCTCTTACCTTCCAACCCTGAAGCAAACTGAAGGCTGACTGCAAACTCCCTCCCACACCCACCGTCTGCAGAACGCTCAGTATTTTAAGACATGCTTGGCCTCTGGCACACTCCTATTACTCTAACACACATTCCAGGTTGTAGGGCTGTGACATCAGGCAGTGGTTCACTGTGCAGCCACCATTTGCTCTGCAGATAGAATACTGTCCTCAGGGGCAGTATACCACATGTTCCTGCCCACAGAGCCTCGCCTGCTCAAAGCCCCAGCTGACAGCAGAGGTGGAAAGTAAAAAACAGGTGTCAGATACACCACTGCTAGTCTTGACAATGGCCCCAGTGAAGGGGAGCCCCAGGACAGAGCAAGACAAACTGCAGATCATCCGTCTCACTGGATGAAGGAACCCTGCCTTGTGGCTGGTTGAAAACACTGATACCCTCCTGTCCGAAGTTTTCTACCAAGAAATATGCTTCCACTAACATAGGTGCAGTCTGCCAGCAAGTATGGGTTTCAGTGGGTGTATGTACCAAAGAATTGGTGGTATTTAGGAAGTGTAGGGGCTTGGAACCCAATGGAACAGATTCCTCAGTGCACTAAAATTTTCTATCTCCTGTATTCTGTTTTTGTGGGACAGAGAATCACCAGAAATCAGCTTCCTCAGGGAGAAATTGAAATAAGCTAAGTCCCAGAGCCACTGTGTGGTCAAGTCAATCACCTATACACTCTACAGTGACAGTTGACTTTAAGAATGGCTCAATGAGAGGGTGCCTGGGTGGCTCAGTCGTTAAGCGGCTGCCTTCGGCTCAGGTCATGATCCCAGGGTCCTGGGATCGAGTCCCGCATTGGGCTCCCCGCTCTGCAGGGAGCCTGCTTCTCCCTCTCCCTCTGCCTACTTGTGTTCTCTCTCTCTCTCTCTGTCAAATAAATAAATAAAATCTTTAAAAAAAAAAAGAATGGCACAATGAGTCACTGTAAGAACCTGAGTTATCAAAGAAGATTCCATTGTATTTCCATTATACAAATGGCTAATCATGCAAGTGAAAGACATATTTTTTGTATTTAACTCTTTTTATTTTTTTAAGTTATATTTTATTTTATTATGTTAGTCACATACAGTACATCATTAGTTTTTGATGTAGTTTTAAAGATATTTTAAGTAATCTCTACACCCAGCCTGGGGCTCAAACTTACAACCCCGGATCAAGAGTTACATGCTCTACTAACTGGGCCAGCCAGGCACCCCCTTAACTTTTATTTTGAATAAAATTATTCTAACTTTTTAGATTCATAGTAATTATAGATTCACAATAGACTTCAAAGAAATATATAGTGTACACCCTCTCCCATACTAACACCCCATGCCCACAATAGCCACCATACAACACCCAAACCAAGAAACTGACATCACTGATCTGGTGTCATCATTATAATTATGTTATTTTGTGATCGTTACACAAATGAAACCATGCAATATATATCAGTGTTGTTTCCTAGGCCAGCTGCACAAAGTACCAAAAACTAGATTGCTTAAAACAACAGAAATTTATCATTTCACACTTGTGGGGGCTCGAAGTCTGAAATCAAGGTGTCAGCAGGGCCATGCTCTCTATGACAGCTCTGGGGAAAATCCTCCCTTGCCTCTTCCAGCTTCTCGTGTTTGCCAGCAATCCTTGGCCTTCCTTGGCTTTATATACACATCACCCCAGGCACATGGCCATCTCACCCTCTGTGTCTTCATGTGGTCTTACCTCTGTGGATCAGTGTCCAAATTTCCTTTTTTATGAGGACACCAGTCAGATTGGATGAGGGCCTGCTGTCATGGTTTCATCTTGACTTGGTTAAATTTGTAAAGACCTTACTTCCAAATTAGGTCACATTCTGAGGTACTAGAGTTAGGACTTCAATTGATCTTTTTGGAGGGACACAATTTGACCTGTAACAGCTCCTTTGGGAGCTATTTGGTTGTGTGGTTGTTGTTGTTGTTGTTGTTTTCTCTAGAGATTCATCCAGAGAACTAATGATGTTGAAAATCCTTTCATATATTTATTTGCCATCTATATAACTTCTTTGGTGAAAGGTCTATACATGTCTTTTGCCCATTTCCTGTTTGGATTATTTCTTTGCTTACTGCTGAATTTGGAAGTTCTTTATATATTCTATATAAAAAGCCTTTGTCAGATATATGATTTGCAAATATTTCTCAGGGTCTGTAATTTGTCTTTTCATCCTTTCAACAGGGGTTTTACAGAGCAGAGTTTTTCATTTTTATGCAGTCAAATTTATTAACTTTCCCTCTTATAGATCATGCTTTTGTCATAAAGGCAAGGCAAGCCTTTTTGCCTAGTTTTAGGTACCCAAGTTTATCTTTTATGTTCTTTTCTGGAAGATTTGTAATTTTACATTTGAGTCCATGCTGCATTTTGAGTTGATTTTTTTTTTTTTAAGATTTTTTTAATTTATTTGCGAGAGAGACAATGAAAGACAGAGAGCATGAGAGGGAGGAGGGTCAGAGGGAGAAGCAGACTCCCTGCTGAGCAGGGAGCCTGATGTGGGACTCGATCCCGGGACTCCAGGATCATGACCTGAGCCGAAGGCAGTCACTTAACCAACTGAGCCACCCAGGCGCCCTGAGTTGATTTTTTTAATAAAGTATGTAGTTTAGGTCAAGGTTCCCTTTTTTTGCCTGTGGATGTCCAGTTATTCCAGCATTATTTGTTGATAGGCTGTCCTTCTTCTGTTGAATTGCTTTTGCAACTTTGTCAAAAATAATTGGGCATTTTTGTGTGGAACAGATCTATTTTTAATAAAATTTTAACAATTAGATTGGTAGCACTGCTTTGAATTAATTGGTTATTTGTATCTTTTTACAGAGGATACCCCAATGGTAAAGATAATTTGATAGTTAATTTAAAAGGAAATTAGACCATTTTGGCTCATCGAGAGATTGAAAAAGAGATAGTAAGGGGCGCCTGGGTGGCTCAGTCGTTAAGCGTCTGCCTTCGGCAGGGTCCTGGGATCGAGCCCCACATTGGGCTTCCTGCTCAGCGGGAAGGCTGCTTCTCCTTCTCCCACTCCCCCTTGTGTTCCCTCTCTCACTGTCTCTCTCTCTCTGTCAAATAAATAAAATCTTAAAAAAAAAGAAAAAGAAAAAGAGATAGTAAGCCAAATCCAGGGTATTTACAAAGAGTATCTAAAATCTTTGAAGATTGTCAGAAAAACTCCCAACTGCAGATAATCTTGTAGAAATCTTTGCCCTTCCTGAGATATCTACCATTTTTTAAAATATGATTTTGCTAGTTGTTCCCCCCAAATCATTTATAACTCCACAGTCCAATACAGTATCATGCACTGCACTTAGTTGTCATGTCTCTTTCTTCTTCTTCAAATTGAATATTTCTGCATCTTCACTTATCTTTTATGACCTTGGCAGTTTTTAAGAACAGAGATCAGTAATTAATAGAATATCTCTCCATGTAGATTGGCCAGATGTTATCTCATGAATAGATTCAGGTTATGCATCTTTGTCAGGAATACCACATAAAAATACTGTCTTCATATCAGGAGGCACACAGTTGATTTGTCCCAGTGCTGTGGTATTTTATCAATTGATTAAGAAGGTGTTTTCTAAGATGCTCAACATCACTCATCGTTAGGGAAATACAAATCAAAACTATAATGAGATACCACCTTACACCTGCCAGAATGGCTAAAATTAACAACACAGGAAACAACAGGTGTTGGCAAGGATGCAGAAAAAGGGGAACCCTCTTACACTGTTGATGGGAATGCAAACTGGTCCAGCCACAATGGAAAACAGTATGGAGGTTCCTCAAAAAGTTAAAAATAGAACTACGCTATGATCCAGCGATTACACTACTAGGTATTTATCCAGAGGATACAAAAGTACAGATTTGAAGGGGCACATGCACCCCGATGTTTATAGCAGCTATCAACAATAGCCAAATTATGGAAAGAGCCCATGTGTCCATCGACTGATGAATGGCTAAAGATGTGGTCTGTATATACAAATGAATATTACTCAGCCATCAAAAAATATGGTATCTTGCCATTGCAACAATGTGGGTGGAGGGAGCTGGAGGGTATTATGCTAAGTGAAATAAGTTCATCAGAGACAGACAAATACCATATGATTTAACTCATATGTGAAATTTAAGAAACCAAACAAGCAAAGGGGGAAAAAAAGAGGCAAACTAGAAAAG